AAAAGTAAAACCAAACTTTGTGGCAATAATTAAGACCAAACTGAACATGGTGTGTGTTTATGGTGCATGTCAGCAATGTTGTCTCGGTGGGGGCGGGGCGGGGCGTGGTAGAGGTGGGGCTTAGATGGACTATATTATCGGATATCGCAATATTTTTAAAGGTGATTATCGATAAGATATTTTTGACATATCGCCCAGCCCTAGTTCGTTGTGGGGCTGAAACAATGAATGAAAAAAATTGATAACAATTGATGAAAATAATTGACAACAAATTTGATCAGCAATTATGGAAAACATCCGCCAGTCACTTTACAGTAGTGAATAACACATTTTCTTTTACATTTTCTATGAAGCCCATGTGAAACATAGCAGATGCCACAGTGTAAGTTCTAGGGCTGGGTAAACAATATTGATATCTCGATATTAATCGATTCTCATTTTTACGGAACGATATCAATTCCTAAATCCCAAGAATCGATTAGTCTAATCTGTTTTCAGTTAATGGACGGAACATTGAAGGTTACTTCCCATCCAATAAATCGCAATAAGCATTGTGCTTTGGTACTTTTCATATGAAACAAAGTCTCGGATTTCAAATTCTGTCCATTATATTGCAGTATTCAAACAATAAATGATGTTTTGGCGCTGTTTAATGTGGAGTGACAGATCGCTGTAGCGCCTCAGTTCAACAGACGCAGCAGTGTGAGGCGCACGTGAGCTGATCATCTCCTCCACATTAATACCAGTTTGAGCACAAAATAAACATGACTAAACATCCGAAGGTAAGTTAAAAGAAAGGGTACAACTTTACAATACATGTAATCACTCAATCTGTGTTTCAGCTGCGCAAAGACGCCAGTAATAACGGCTTGTAAACAATGTCACGTAACGTCACATTTACCTCAGAAAAAAACATATTCGGTGACCATAAACTCATTAGTCAGATAAACTGTAGAGAGGGGCATTTTGCTTAATATATGCACCATATAACATATTCATTATACTTTTTTACTGTTCTTCAATGTTTAACATGGTCACTGCTGGCCAAATGGGTGCCCTAAGCAGAATAGTATTGTTGTGCCCCTTCTCTCAAAAAAAAACCAAAAACAAAAAAAAAACACCTACTATAAGGGGTCAAAATAGAACTTTAATCAAATATAAAAGTAGCTTTGCAGGCATTTGTAATGATGTAAATTGTTTATTTTGTATTACATTATGTATTTTAACAGTGTCAATGAAACCATATTTAAACAATATACCATATATTGCCTCGTAGTTTTTATATAATACATTTTAAGTCATGGAAACTAGAATATTAAGTCAGAATATTTTACAGCATTAGTTGAGATTTTTTTTTCCTTGAGAAAATTTGGCATGTACTGTACCTGATATATATCCAAAATAATTGATATTGAATCGAATCGAATCTAATTGGTAATCGAATCAAATTGCAAGCATCGAATTGGTAATCGAATCGAATTGCAAGCTTGTGAATGATAATCGAATCGAATCGTGAAATTTGTGTCAAAACCCAGCCCTAGTAAGCTGTGCACAGTGTAATGCACAAACCAAGCAGAGTGCTTTTATATTAAAAGCTTTGAACAAATGAATAAAAATAATGTTTGATGCAGGTTGCTGTTTAATGTGTTAGAGAAGTGTTTCCTCAGCTCATTCCCCACTTACTTTTTATGTTTGTATCTTTATTCCTGTATTCCATTTTGCGTAATGCTGAATAAGTGTAATAGTTTTTTAGGATGTATTTTTACGAGGTTGTATTGTCTAATAGATTTGTTTTTTTTGTTTTTTGTTTTTTTAGGCTTGTATTTTATTCTGAGTATATTATTGTCTATTGTCTGTGTACTGATGGATGTAATGAAAAGACGTTGTGTACTAGCCATTGTGAAAGCAATGACCGCAGTTATTGTGTTTCGTCTGCTCGCTCTGAGGCACAAGTAATTTATTATATATGAAAATGATTATATTCAGTGGCTTCTCCTACTTTTCTTAGTGATATTTAGTGCCAGTTTATCAGGAAGTGACGATTTTGTTCTCTTTGACTTGTTGGATGGAAATGGTGCCTATTCGCAAATGTTTTATTAAATATTCCAATTTTGTTCATAAGTTCGACAAGTTCGATAATAAAATCCAACTTTGGATGGAAACCCGGCTAGTGTGTATGTGAGCACCATGAGTCCAAGGCAAATTTCCCTTCAGGGACAATAAAGTGTACTGTACTGAACTCAGTTGAACTGAACAAACAGATGGAGCGCAATAGAATGGGAGCACAATAATACCTTTTTTTAATAAAATACAAAATAAAATAAAATCTTTTATCCAATTAATCGAAGAAATAATCAACAGATTAATAATCGTTAGTTTCAACCCTGGTGCATTGGAACTAAATTGGCCTGCATACTGTAGCGTCTGGACCAATCAGACACACCATTTTTCATTTGATTTTTTTGCATTTGTAAGTAAAATGTGAAGTATGATGTTATGTAATTTATGTTTAATGGAACTGTTATTTTTATTTATTTATAAAATTATTATTATTATTAAATAAAAAATGGTTCCTCAGTCCCAACCCTAATTTAAATTTTTTTTTTTAATTAATTAATTTGAATGTGCTAGTAATAATCCGGACTCAGTATAAACTTCTGTTTATTCAGAAATCAATTACATTTGTTAAAAAAAGGAATAAAATGCATAAATACTATAGATAGATTATTTTTATGACTTTTGCTTACATTAATGGCTCTTGAATGTCTCTAATCCTTCACCAGTGTGGATGGAATATCATATTAAATCTAAAATACTTGCCTATTTCTCAGCACATAAAATTCAGATGCTTTTGTTACATGACCCTGTTGTGATGGCTGTAAACCAGTGTAATCCAGTTCTTGAACAAATGACTTCTGTGGTCTGGTTCTGTTTAATGAATTGGTCTAAACGACTCACAGGCGATGAAGCCATTGGTCTAAAACTGCTGACTGAATCATTCAAAGTGTTTACTGAATTAACATCTGACTAATTCGCTGAATTGCAAGTCCTTACTTTCAGTCATATCTGACTCAAAATTCACAATGTAGTGTTATGATGTACTTGAGATTTATGAGACTTGCGTCAATGTAGTTGCTGTTCAGTGGGTTAAACCCTATACCCAGTTTCTTTCTTCACCTCTCTTCCCCCAATCTTTACCTTTTACCATTCTATTTCTTGTTTCTTTTCTGTGTCTCGATTCCCCGACTGTATTACTTAATCATCCCTGCTGTAATCCCAGTATGGACTGCTTTGCCCTCACCAGATAAACCCCATTTGTCTCTTTCTGTGTCCTATCTCCCATCTTCCCCTCTTTTTGTCTCCTTCTCAATGCTAAACCACGTGCTAAAGATTACATGCATAGCTTGATTCATAGCTTAGATGAGCTGTAAGCCTTACAGAGGACGTCTCAGCTCAGGACGGACACGTTCCATCGTTCGTAACGTTATCTGTGAGGAGAAGCGACTACGTGCTGGGGACTCGCTACAAACTGTTATTTGTTTAGCTTGTTAATTCTGGACCTGAGAGCGATTTAAATTCTCTGTCTCCTGCTCCCAGACGTTGCCCACCACAGCTACGTGGTCATACACACGCACACGTACATGCATACATGTTACGCAGGTTTGATCTCTCTGTGGGTTTCAGCAGGATGCATTGAAATTCACTGCCACTTATAGTCGAATCTGTGGAGACCACAGACATGGATTTAAACTGCTCAATTCCCTCAGAAACGAAGGATCTTCATTACTCTGCAATTAATTGTGAAAACACTGTGAGAGTGTTCGTCTTCAGAGGCTCATTATAATCTCTCTACGAGACAATGAGCTTGTTTGTGGTGCTGATTGAAGATGCTTTAGTCTTAATATATTCTGTGTTCGATATACTGTAGCTGATTTGGCATTAAACTTTATACAGATTGAACTGTACACACTATAAATGTGCATGCCAACTAGATGGTCTTATTGACATATAGACAATGATGTACATATGTTTACTCTTTGTGATAATTAGGCTAATAAATCTGCAACAAGTTGCTAATTCACATCTTTGTGTGTATATAGAAAATTTCCCTTTTTAGGGATTTAATTTAACAGGTAACATTTGAAAATGAATACATTTTTATTTTATTGTAATTTATTTTTATTTATTTATTTTTTACATTTCTATTTCACTAATGTTATTAGATAAAAGGCCCAAAAAGTTTTGCAATAAATATTATCATTTTAGAGAAATCACAGTGAAAAAGCTGTTAGTTCACAGTGGAAAAAAAAGGTTTATTGTTTTTAAAGTTTCATTGTTAGTTCACAGTGTTTGCTCATAACTGGAGTCCCTAATCATGCAGATTTATGCTACAGGCTCTGTGTAGAGTTGTACATTAAGAAAGTTATTTCCCTTAACCAGGAAATTAACGTTCTTAGAATTGACAGACAGTTGACCCTGAGAGGTCAAGTAAATATCTACAGCGGATCTAAATATTTATAATTAATTATAACTAGTTGTGATTAATTATTCATATTTCCCCATGAGCTGATTCGCTACAATACTAATTTTGCATTTGTAAGTAAAATGTGAAGTATGATGTTATGTAATTTATGTTTAATGGAACTGTTATTTTTATTTATTTATAAAATTATTATTATTATTAAATAAAAAATGGTTCCTCAGTCCCAACCCTAATTTAAATTTTTTTTTTTAATTAATTAATTTGAATGTGCTAGTAATAATCCGGACTCAGTATAAACTTCTGTTTATTCAGAAATCAATTACATTTGTTAAAAAAAGGAATAAAATGCATAAATACTATAGATAGATTATTTTTATGACTTTTGCTTACATTAATGGCTCTTGAATGTCTCTAATCCTTCACCAGTGTGGATGGAATATCATATTAAATCTAAAATACTTGCCTATTTCTCAGCACATAAAATTCAGATGCTTTTGTTACATGACCCTGTTGTGATGGCTGTAAACCAGTGTAATCCAGTTCTTGAACAAATGACTTCTGTGGTCTGGTTCTGTTTAATGAATTGGTCTAAACGACTCACAGGCGATGAAGCCATTGGTCTAAAACTGCTGACTGAATCATTCAAAGTGTTTACTGAATTAACATCTGACTAATTCGCTGAATTGCAAGTCCTTACTTTCAGTCATATCTGACTCAAAATTCACAATGTAGTGTTATGATGTACTTGAGATTTATGAGACTTGCGTCAATGTAGTTGCTGTTCAGTGGGTTAAACCCTATACCCAGTTTCTTTCTTCACCTCTCTTCCCCCAATCTTTACCTTTTACCATTCTATTTCTTGTTTCTTTTCTGTGTCTCGATTCCCCGACTGTATTACTTAATCATCCCTGCTGTAATCCCAGTATGGACTGCTTTGCCCTCACCAGATAAACCCCATTTGTCTCTTTCTGTGTCCTATCTCCCATCTTCCCCTCTTTTTCTCTCCTTCTCAATGCTAAACCACGTGCTAAAGATTACATGCATAGCTTGATTCATAGCTTAGATGAGCTGTAAGCCTTACAGAGGACGTCTCAGCTCAGGACGGACACGTTCCATCGTTCGTAACGTTATCTGTGAGGAGAAGCGACTACGTGCTGGGGACTCGCTACAAACTGTTATTTGTTTAGCTTGTTAATTCTGGACCTGAGAGCGATTTAAATTCTCTGTCTCCTGCTCCCAGACGTTGCCCACCACAGCTACGTGGTCATACACACGCACACGTACATGCATACATGCTACGCAGGTTTGATCTCTCTGTGGGTTTCAGCAGGATGCATTGAAATTCACTGCCACTTATAGTCGAATCTGTGGAGACCACAGACATGGATTTAAACTGCTCAATTCCCTCAGAAACGAAGGATCTTCATTACTCTGCAATTAATTGTGAAAACACTGTGAGAGTGTTCGTCTTCAGAGGCTCATTATAATCTCTCTACGAGACAATGAGCTTGTTTGTGGTGCTGATTGAAGATGCTTTAGTCTTAATATATTCTGTGTTCGATATACTGTAGCTGATTTGGCATTAAACTTTATACAGATTGAACTGTACACACTATAAATATGCATGCCAACTAGATGGTCTTATTGACATATAGACAATGATGTACATATGTTTACTCTTTGTGATAATTAGGCTAATAAATCTGCAACAAGTTGCTAATTCACATCTTTGTGTGTATATAGAAAATTTCCCTTTTTAGGGATTTAATTTAACAGGTAACATTTGAAAATGAATACATTTTTATTTTATTGTAATTTATTTTTATTTATTTATTTTTTACATTTCTATTTCACTAATGTTATTAGATAAAAGGCCCAAAAAGTTTTGCAATAAATATTATCATTTTAGAGAAATCACAGTGAAAAAGCTGTTAGTTCACAGTGGAAAAAAAAGGTTTATTGTTTTTAAAGTTTCATTGTTAGTTCACAGTGAAAGCACAGTGAAAAAGTTGGTAAAGCCCATGAAAAGTATTTATTTTGTTTTGTTTTGTATTTTATTTTATTTTATTTTATTTTATTTTATTTTATTTTATTTTATTTTGTTTTTTGTTTTGTTTTGTTTTATTTTGTTTTGTAAATGGCAATACATATAATGATCTAGAGTTCTTTATTCTTATTCTTCTTCATTTGAAACCTTTCTTTTCCTCTGTCTTCTCATTTCAGTGGGAGGAAATCAGCGGTGTCGATGAGAAATACAAGCCCATTCGCACATATCAAGTATGCAACGTGATGGAGCCCAGTCAGAACAACTGGCTCCAGACGGGTTGGATATTGCGGCAGGGCGGCCAGCGCATCTTCATCGAGCTGCAGTTCACTCTGCGAGACTGCAACAGTATCCCAGGCGTGTCCGGTAGCTGTAAAGAGACCTTCAACCTCCTCTACGCCGAGTCCGACTGGGACCTGGACCGCGTCACCCGTGAAGACCGCTACAGCAAAATCGACACCATTGCGGCAGATGAAAGTTTCACGCAGGGTGATTTGGGAGAACGAAAGATGAAGCTTAACACCGAAGTCCGTGAGATAGGACATCTCAACCGCAAAGGATTCCATCTGGCCTTCCAGGATGTGGGCGCATGTGTCGCGCTGGTTTCCGTGAGAGTGTACTACAAACGTTGTTTATCAACGGTGCAGAATTTAGCAGTGTTCCCGGATACAGTAGCTGAAGCTGCTTTCTCGACTTTGGTGGAGGTGAGAGGGTCGTGCGTGAATAACTCTGAGGTGGACACAGACAGTCCTCCCAGAATGCATTGCAGTGCTGAAGGAGAGTGGCTGGTGCCCATCGGGAAATGCAGCTGCAGCGCTGGGTATGAGGAGGGACACAGCAGCTGTGAGGGTAAGAAACACTCTTCCACCCAAACCTTTGTAGTGTTGCACCAAAGTTTATGTTTAAAACTCATAATGGTTTGATTTTACCACAAAGCAACCTTGGTGAAAAAGCAGTCCTTGCGGTCTCATAATGATTATGCAGGTTATCAGCGTTTTTTATGCCAGATGATGAAAGGTTTGGTCTGTTCATTAATGTAATAGTTCATCCAAAAATGCAAATTGTTATCAGTTACTCACCCTTCATTTTAAACCTGTATGACTGACCTTCTTCCATAGAACACAAAAGGAGAAATTTGAAAATGTGTTTATCTTTTCCATGGTGTTACACTCAGTATGGACTGAAGCGTTCAATCTTTGAAAACAATGCTAAAATATCATAAAAGTGATGATCAATATGAATCATGCACTATATTGGAGTCTTTTTTGTGATTGTTTTATTTGAAAAACAAATAATAAAAATTAGCTATTCATGGAAAATCTTACCGTCCAGTGGGCAGTTAACCATTGCAACCAGATCATTGAATCAATGAGCTGCACCAGATCAGTTTCATTTATAAATGAATCGTTCTGACCATTTTTGTGAACTGGATTCACTGACTCAAAAAAAGTGGTAACACTTTACGAATACCATTAGTTAATGTTAGTTAATGTATTGTATGTTTGTACTTTTTTTTGTCATTTTGTAGCTTGACAGCCTCAGTCATCATTCATTTTCATTATATTGAAAAAAAGTAGCCAGGATATTCTTCAAAAATCTTGTAAGAAAGAATGTAAGAAAATCATACAGATTTGGAACAACATGAGGGTGAGTAAATTATGTCAAATTTCATTCTCGATTTATTTAAAACCCAACTTCTTATCAAATGCAGAGGATTTAGTCAGATTGCATTTTTAGATGTGTTACATGACGGTTTTAGAAGCTCCCAGCTGTTTGGTTGCTTTGACGTGGGTCAGCGACTCTAACAGTCATCCGTTTGGTTTCACTTCAAGGGTCAGAAATACGTCAGCGCTGACTGATAGTGTCACGCTCTCTGAGGTTTCTGTGTGTCAGTGTTTGAGTGGTGGAATCTCTCCTCCTACTACAGCTGTATGTCATTTGAACAGTGCGATACTGCGTTATCAACAGCCGCTACAGGACATGGTGTGTGTGTGTGAGTGTGTATCTTTGTCAGTGTGATATTTCACAGTCCATCTTGAAGAATTGTGTGATGCAGTGTGGGAGTTGTAGTCAGATCACACGTACAGCAGCAGGCTGTTACAACAGACCCTGCATTGTGTCTTTATTTTGTTATTGTTGTCAGTGAATCATAAATCACTAAGAGGCATGTGATACGTGGCGAAGTAAACTTACAAACAAATACATATTGGACACATTTTTAAAAAATTGCTATTCTTTGTAAACCTGAAGCTCTTTAATGATAAATGCTCTTATTTGAAAGAGATGTCAAACATAAACTTGTGCATGCCCATAATGCATGTTCATTTTTTATATAATATAATCATATATCATATCATATCATATATATATCATATCATATATCATATCATATCATATCAATTTATTTACAATGGTCAATTTTGGATAGGCTCCTTTTAAAAAATATATTGTTAATTTTTTTTATCTAATCTAATACATAATTTTGGAGTTGATAAATGTTTAATAATAATATATTCATAATAATAATAATAATAATAATAATAATAATGTTTTAATACCATTTCAAATACCAGCCATTCATTACTTTCAGCACCGTGGTATATATCTAATTGCCGTGGTTTTCTTGTGTGAAACCAACATTGTGTCATGATACTGCCACAGTATGTTTTTGGGATGTAAATGCTGTGGTGTGTGGATTATTTAGTACCATGGTAAATAATTCAAACTACCATGGTATTGCTATCTAATGACATTACTGTGCCTTTGTATAACCACAGTATTATTTTGGGTGAAAAGGGTGTTTCAGGGTTTTTGCATGTGAATGCGTCCTTATTTTCTGTTTATGTGGTTCGTCTGAGTGTGTGTTGTCTCTCAGTTCCTCTCTCCAAGCTTATGTCAGTCTTCATGATCTCAGCTCTGTGATTGGTCCTGTAACCCCAGATGATTTTTACAGACTCAGTCACACTCACTGTGGGTGAGACGAACTGTCAAACCCCACACATGACGTTCACTATCTCCCACTCGCACCTCACAAGCACTTCCTCTTACTTCTCCTCAGTGTGAGCTGATACATATGTCCAAACACAGCCTGTCCCTGACTTAATGTTCCACCTCATTTGTGTCAGAGTACAGTATTCACACATAGCCACAATGACGGTTTACTAATCAACACTCACAGAAATATGCAAATATGCCACGGTCAAGGCAAGGCAGCACTGTATTCAATTCCCTCACACTGCTTAATTTTCTACATGCTTCAGCTCTAATTAATACAGCTCCAACCATTTAATACACAGAAGCCATTCAAACTTTTATTAATGAACTTTAAACTCAACACATTTATTTTTTAAAGGAATGTTCTGGGTTAAAAACAAGTTTAGCATCATCAGTAGTATCTGTGGGTGTCTCTTACCACTTGCTGACTTATACCACAGACAGAAACTTTTGTTGGTTACAACTAGGGCTGGGTATCGAGTTCGATACTTTTTAGGCACCGACTGAATTGCCTCGATACCATCGAGTATCGAAAAACGTCTCATCGTTCGGTACCAAATTTCGATACCTAAGGGATTCATCTCATCAACGTCAGTGAGCCAATAAGCCTACAGCACTAGATGTGCTCGATTAGAAGCGGCGCAGCGCAGATCAATCAGTGTTTGACATCCGCGAGAGCGATGCGAAAACAAGACCGAAAGCGCGTGTTGCGTGACCATTCATGCACACTGTAGTACCATGCTACATAAGAACAGGGTTTAAATTGGGCCGGGCCGTCTGGGGCTGAGCCCCGGCACATAGACTCCAGGGCTTGACATTAACGCTTCCATTAACGCAAGACAAGTATAAAACATCAGTAACCAAAAATAAGAATAAAAAAATAAGTATTATTCTGATTTTATTACATTTAGAGTAAGTGGCGAATAGTGAATATCTAATGTATATAATGCATCTATTGACAGTATAAGGTTGCGCTGCTGAAGCGAGGCTCACGCAGCCTCTCCAGGAGAAATCAAAAAGCGCAACGACTGTTTAATAGTTCTATAAACAGTTCAATAAGCAAATACAATAATATTAGGTCACTTACATTTTAGGCGGAAACACAGCGCATCTCACAGCAACCAGCCAATTCGTTGCTGCTTGATTCCGTGTTTTGAACGAATCGGTTGAGTCAAAGTTTCATTAGCCCATGCATAAACATCTGATGAATCTGCCGTTTGAACGAATCGTTTGAATGAACGACTCAATGACTCCTTCATTAAACGCTCACTACTGGCACCTTACTGACGTTTTAATTTCGTTGAAAAGTATAATTTCCACCATAATTTCTTGTTTGTATATTCAAAAATATTTTAAATAATATAATATAATATAATATAACAAATCCCAATTTAACCCCTGCATAAGACAATAAATAAGATTTATATTCCGCTTTTACTCAAAACTCACTTTAAACCACCATCAAGTTTTTGTAATAACTTCCGATTACCGTGTGTGTTTTGGCCATGTATTGTTGCTGAAATTAAATATGTTATTACCTCTGAGTCAGAGCAGCGATCATGGAAGAGAGAGCACAGGCAGACAGCGCTAGAAATTGCTAATGCTCATCAGTAAATCAGTGGAAAATGAATAGAAATGAGGATTCTGTCTGAGCTATGTGTTTTAAAACGAACACGCACTAGTGTAAATGTAGCTAACAGATGTGTAAACTGAAGACTATTTGAGCTTTATTAAAACTATTTTGCACTGATTTATTGTTGGTTACATTTTGTTCCTTTGTGCAGTGGCTCAGGAGATGAGTCTTTGAGTCTGTACAAACATCAACAAGCTGAAAAATAAAACCAAAGTTTTTTTTTTAGAAAATGTAATCTTGTTAAAATAGATTTCATAAAATTGGTATCGAAAAAAGTATCGTTCAGGAACCGGTATCAAAGTCAAGGTATTGGGATCGATATCGAAAATGTTTGAACGATACCCAGCCCTAGTTACAACAAGAGATGAAAAATGTAATGAAAGCAAGGATAGTAAGTGATTTTATCACACTATTATCATGTTAATGTGTAATGTTTAAGTCTTGTGGCTTTACTTCGCGCTTTGTCCCATAGACTAAAATTATAAGTAGCTTTTTTTTTGAGAGAGATGATAGAAAAATGTATTTATTTATTTTTGTAAATAAGCGCAATGTATTTTCATTTTATTATAATTAGTAAGTAGTCAACTAGTCATTCACCTGAGGACGGAGTTTCTTTTAGATTTCCTTTATCTTTTTGAGTGTTTAGCTGTGCTCACATGCTCTTTGTTTGAAAATGTGAGTGTGTGATGCTTCAGATGTTTTAGTCATGATGAGCTGCATGAGTGAATGGTGTTACTACATCAGATAAAAGGCTTGTCATAACTCCCAGAAGAGAGGATGATTCAAAGGCCAACGATGAACAGGATTTCACACCACACATCTAATGACAGAGGAACACAAAAACCGACTGCCAATCAGAGAGCAGACAGGAGCTGAGGAATGTGTGAAGGGACAGATTGGATGAGACTCGAGAGAGAGAGAGATAGATGGAGAGAAAAAAACTAAATTGGAGGAAGATGGTAAACGGAGCATGAAAAATCTTGTAGTTAATACACATGCTCAGACTAGGTTTGTGATGATACCCAAATCTCAGTATTAGATACCAAAACCAGTTAATCTGCACAAAGCCAGATGCTAGTTTAGATTCTATAGGGAAAACAAACATGCTATTAAACATGCTTCTATGTCTTATTTTATTTTACATTTTTAGTATTAGCAAATTAAATTGAAACTATTTAATGTTTCTCAATCAAGTAAATATTCTTCAGGTTTTCCAAGTAAT